GGAGGCAGGACACTCTGCAATACATTCCTGTTGACAAGCCACATGATGCTGATGGCAGCCAGATCCCTGGAGATGCCTCCACTGACATTGGACCCACAGGACTTTAAACCCACTAGCCTGTGATCTTCCTACATTCGGCATCATTGCATATACTGCGTGAGTGTGAACTAGAATTCAGGGGCTAATATCAAACTTATGGACTTGACCTGGACTGGGATGTTTTATTGATGCATAATTACTTCTTAATATAAAGTTCTCTCTTACATATATATGTGTGTCTCTGGATTTGTTTCTCTAGTCAACCTGGACTAATAAACCACATAAGCATGCGAAAATTGGACATACAATAAGGAAGACCCAAGAATAATGGATGCATTTGAATTGTGGTGCTGACGAAGAATATTTCAAGTACCATGGACTTGCTAAAAGGTCAAACTGATTTATTATGGAAGTACAGTCAGAAGATATCACAAGACTTCATATTACATTGGACAGGTTTTCAGGCGAGACCACTTCCTGGGGAAGGACATCATGTTTGGTAAAGTGGAGGGGCAGCAAAAATGAGGAAGGCCCTTGATGAGGGCTGACCCCATGGCTGCACTGATGGGCTCAGGCGTATTAGCAATTGTTAGGATGGCACAGGACTGTGCAGTGATTTGTTCCTTTGTGCTAGGGTCACTATGGGTCCTACCCAATTACATGGGACCTAACAACGAGCAATTGAGGTGTTGCTGCTAACATGACTAAGGAACTAAGCTGCATTTTGCGTCATTTTAATTTAACCACATGTTACTAGTGACTACCATGCTAGACAGCATACAGCTCTAGAGCAGTGGTTCTCAACCTTCCTACTACACTTCATGTTGTAGTGACCCTCAACCATAAAACTATTTTCGTTGCTACTTCATAACTAATTTTGCTACTGTTAAGAATCATAATGTAAATATCTGATATGATGTATTTTCATTGTTACAAATTGAACTTAATTAAAGCATAGTGATTAATCACAAAAACAGCATGCAATTATATATTGTGGAATATTTATTCCTAATTACAAATAAATTAAATTTTGTCTTGAAACATGGTATAGCATGGGTAACAGTTTTCACGCCAGGTATGTGGGCAGACCCTCCAAGAGATGGATAGAGGAGCAGTGTCTCGGTTCCTAAGACCATTGGAAATATGTTTTCCGATGGTCTTAGGTGACCCCTGTGACAGGGTCGTTCGATTCCCAAAGGGTTTGCGACCCACAGGTTGAAAACCACTGCGCTAGAGTAATAACTAAGAGACGAAAAACACACAATCATGTTTTGCTTAATATCTAACACATTTTATTAAAAATCGAAGAATCCAGAAAAGCATGAGGAAAACTGGCTTATCTTTCTTTAATTAAATGACAAGTACTAAACTCAAAAGAAAATTTTAAAGTGAGATCTATTTCAAAAAAATAAATAAATAAAAGCAGCTAGGAAATTTTCCAGACTAAAGAGAAACCACAGACCTCCCTCTAGTGGCAAGAGATAAAAGTACTGCTGAAAAGCTGAATTGCTCCTTGTAGCTCTCTCTAAAGGGGAGGGTAGTCAAAGTTTGTGGGAAAATGGGATTTAAAATGATAAGGGAACTTTTCCACAAACTCTTTAAAGCTCCCTTGTATATAAAACTGCTCACAGATGTTTCTTTTATAAAATTATCCCTTGGAAAAATTCTAAATCAATATAATAGGAACACAAATCAGATTGTTTTGACAGCAGAAATAGACAAATTTAGTCACTAGGAATGTTCACACTTCTCTATAAATCTGTCTGATCTCTGGCAGGGGGGGACACGGACACGATGGACATCATATTGCCAATGACATTTAGGAAATCAAGGTTTTCATAAAAAACATTTCTGATCACATTTAAGACCACATGGAGCGCTGGTGGCATAGATGTTACATGTTGCACTGCTAACCACTAGGTCAATAGTTAGAAACCACCAGCCACACTTTGAGATAAAGAGGAGGTTTTCTACTCCTGTAGAGTTGCAGGCTCCAAAATCCATAGACAGGGGTGGTTCTACCCTGTCCTCTGTGGTCACTATGAGTCGGAATCAACTCAGGGGTACTAAGCTTAAATTTGAAGGAAACTGTGAGCAAAATGAAAGAAAACAATTCTGTATTGACCAATTATCTAGGAGGGAGTATGGAAAAAGGAGCCAAAGCAGTAAACAGCAGTGGAATTCATTAAAACTCAAGGTACATCAACATAAACAAAAATGATGTCGCAATAGTTCTCCATAGCCAAAACAACTTTTCATTCTGATCTCTTTCAAAAGACAGTTCTGCCACATTGCCAGTTTTAATTATAGCCATTACACACTCATTAAGATTTAACTACTCAACTACTTTCAAGTACAGGAGGAACTCAAAATATAAACTACTGTGTTATAGCTGTTAATCCCTCAGTTTCAAGAAAAACAGCTTTTATGTACATGGTAGTAAGTACAGAATGTACAGATGGTTATATATACAAAAGTGCATTAATATTGTAATACATTTAGCAGAAATACAGGAAATTAATCCTGGTTAACAATCTGATATATTACAATATTTAAAACTACTTGAAGATTCTCCAAACCAGTCAAACTCCTACTTGCTTTGGTTATGATATTTGGCTACTAACTAACCTTTGTAACTAAAGAAAAGAAAAATTTAACCATCTGTAAAATGTTTTACATATACTTGTGTTTATCTTTAGTAGTTCTTTTATAATAGTCTTACACATGTATATATAAAGAATGGATAATACTTATGTCAAAATTAGAGCACCCAAATAGGAAATTAAATTGGTCCACTATAGGAATAGTTATTATCTTCTGGCATCCGAAAAGTCTCAGCTAAATAAAACATAACCCCCAAATTGCAACTTCAAACCAATCAGGCAAGTTCAATTAAAGAGCAAGCAGTTCCACAAAGTAAATCATGGCTTCATGCCATTGTTCCTTAGAACAATTCAGAATTGTGGTAACTTGTCCTTTATATGCATGAATTCTATACCTACCTTTAAATAGTCAAAACACATATGCATAATTTGCATATGAATAATTCCAGCAATTCTCCCCTTTCTCACCCTATTCTTCACCACCAAAAGGAGCATAGATTTCCACAGGGTCCATTGATCAAGTAGTAACAAATCAATTTAAAACCTAAGGGCATAGTACCCTTTGTTGAATTCACAGAAGCCCAAGCCAGTTTTTCTGAGTTCAGTAGGAGTGTCAAATTTAAAATAAATGCACTGTGGTTAAAACATTTAAAATTTTAATGGAAAATATCATCAGAGGAGAGGCTAAAACTAAAAAAAAATAATATTAGGAGAGAAATTAAAATATCTTAGCCTGTTAATTCAGGTCTTAGGCTATACCATGCAAGTTTCTTACCTGTAATAGCCAGCTAGTTACAGGAACTTTTAACATTCCTTTTAAGCCTTTTGGAATAAGTAAATTACTATCCACAGAACTGAAAATGAAGCTTTCTCAATGTTCCAGATACTCTGCTGACAGAGATGCCTAGGCGCAACTATCTTGCAGATGGTTCTCACCCACTTAGCATAATTGGATTTTCAAGATAAAAGTAGAAACCAGACTTAAAGGAAATCCAAAATTACCACCAGGTGTGTACCTACAAATACTTATTTTCTTACAAATAGTCCTTTTGAGGATTAAGTTTAAGTTTAAATTTAGACTTGTGGAAATGTCAGGATTTTTTTCATCACGAACACTATGAAATCCAATGGACAATTTCCCCATCAGATGTCCCAAACTATAAGCTGACATTAAGTAATGGCCTTCCAATTTCAAAATTTTTCTTAAAGATAAAAAAGTTAAAGGTAATTTGGGAAAAGACAAATGGGGAGGGAAGTGTTCCAGCTATCAGCGCTCAAATGACAACAAATCCCTAAAGTGAACAAAAACCAACTTGCTACTATATGATCTCTGTTCCTGAAGTGATTGGCCTATACTTAGGCTATCTGGTTTAAAAAGGAATTCTAGCCTCGGACCTTTTAAAGCAGGGAGGAGGATACATTAAAGCATCCTTCAACTCACTTTCAATATTATTCAATGACCTACCTGGGCCAAAAGGAAAATTATGCAAATGACATTAGAGCTGAAGGTTTCTGTTTCCTTTTATATTCATTCTATAACCATAGGTGGGCTTAATTTAAAGGCCTTGCTGACTGTTATCCTAGACCATGGGCATTTTTAAAAACGAATTACATGTAGAATATATTTGCATTTGGAAAAGCCTTTGACACAAAGTTCAGAGGTCACCATTAAGGCACATGAGGCTAGAGAGAGTAAGCCACAAATATGTCTGTGCTACAGAACCTGGAAATAAACAAAACTAGACTGGTGACATACTGACATTTTTGGCTTAAATGTGAGACAGTTAATGCTGTTCACAATTTTTAAAGCTCGTCAGAATCAGGAGCCTGTCTTTATACAATAGTTTCCTGTTGTTTTCTTTTAAAGGGTCTTTTTAAAGGGTGATTTAGGACTAAAAGTTGAATAAAACAAGATTTCCACCCAATTTACAGAGTCATTTCATTAAAGGCCTGGTTTCTGAGATGAATTCAGCAAATATATCTGTTTTACCCAAGGGACTGAGGAACTAGAAAAAACTTCCATACTCTTAACAAGAAATGAAACAAGCCTTCTGACAAACACACACACAAAGGTGTTTTTTTCTCCTCTGAGTTCTTGTGGAGACAGAATGAACTGACCCTTTATACGCAACTACATGCTGTACTGCATTGTCTTCTTTTTAGTTGTACAACCACAGAAAACCTTATGCCATTTTATTTAAGGCTTCATAATTTTAAACGTTGTGATGGGCTCTAAACCGAAAACTACAAGATCCCTAATAAAATGCTTCTGGGTCAATCAATGGGGACTTGATTGTGGCCTTAGTTAACCAGGTTTATTTTTTATTCTCATAGTTGATAATTGACACTAGAGCAAAGTAAGTCTTTCTCTCTCCTTTTTAATATTTAAGAGTCATATTTTTAAAAGACAAATAGTGAGTTGGATTTATTTTCAAGTGAACTCAAGAGATACAACAGACTGAATAAATGACAACATGATCCAAGAAAAAGAGAGCTCAAAACCACTACATGAAATAGCCATAACAAAAAAAGTATAACAAAACATTTTCTCTTTTTCTTGCTTTGTGGGGAAAGAGTAGAGAAAAACTTCTCAATCTCCCACTTGGATCGCAAGGAAGCCTAAATAGGCTTAATTGTTTTTTCTTTTAATCAAAAGATATTTCAAATCTCCTCCAAATCAACTTACGGACTTATCATTAACCTATAGTACCATATAGACAGAGTCATTCAGATTAACATAGCTATTAACACGCAAACCCCTAGAAACTTTTAACATCGGCTTTGTGGTGCTTTGGTAAAATTGTTTATGATGACTGAAATGAAACTTAAAGTCATGAGACTACATGATTGGTGTGAGAGAGTAGAAAAATGGATAATATATCACAATCCTTCTACTGATGATTCTCAAATACGTGCTTCCAAATATTTAATAGATAAATGCTGCTCTTCCTTGAAGAGTAGGGAGAAACTAGCTAATCAGTCTCTTGAGATTTTGCTCGTTGCTAAGATCCAAAACTAAACTCGCTGCCATTGAGTTGACTTTGACTCATTAGCGACCCTACAGCAATTCTAACTCTGTGGGTTTCCAAGACTTCATGAGATGGGTTCACTGGTTAGCAATCCAACATGAAACCACCACACCATATCATTCACTCTTCTCTCCATGTACTCTGCCTGCACATGGAAAGAGAATGGGAATCTTCCTCAGAGTATTGTGGAATCTCACCCCCAACTTTGTGAATAAGGAGGCACCAAACAGGGTAGGAGGAAAAGTCAGAAGACTATTCAAACAGAAAACCACACAAACATAAATACTTTTCTCTTAGCTGCACTTTAAAGTATGAATTTAGTGGTCTTTAAAAGGTTACAACCAAAAATTAAAAATTAAAAAAATAAAAGGTTACAACCATACCACAGACCTCAACAAAGTGGTAAAATAGGGTTTTCATCCTTGGTTTCCATGATTTATCTTTCAAGGAGCCAAGATGAAAGTGAAATTTAAAATAAAAATTAAAAAAAAACATTTCCAAAACTTAAGTGAAGTCTTCCTTTGAATTGAGAATGTAGTTTCTTTCAGGTTTTTCTTCATGAGCTACTAGACAAAACAAAAGGTAAAATTTTCTTTAAAAAGGTAGAAATCTTATTAACCTCTGGGCTCCTGGATTTTAAAAGACATTGATTACAACTCCTACTAAAGAAGGATCATTACCCCAAAAATGTTATTCCCCCCCCAAAAAAGGCAAATCAGAAAGCAGCTTGATTGTCAGTAGTTATCAGTTTCCATCTTTAACCCATGTGAATGTTCAAAGATGTGCAGAAGATACATACTACTTCTAATACTCATTATAACAAACTCTCTATGAAAACACTTAAAACAACTCCATTAGAGTTCTATTAATAACCAACGCATTAGAGGGTTTTCTGTAACTCACAGCTTGGTCTACTTCTAGCACTTTATAGAGATGTTTAGCATAATTTTAAGGGTTTTTCATCAGTTAATGTTGAACGTGAACTTGTTTACATGCTGAAAGATGTTATACTGAGTATTTAAAAATTAGAGCTGTGCTGAAAAAATACGTGGGGGAGGACTTTCAAGAAATTGTGCCTTTGGGAAAATTTCAGAAAGCAGTGAGAAAGCAGAATTGCTTGGTTTGCCTAATTGCTTTCTCTATGGAAAATTAATCATATAGCATCACATCTAAAGTACACTCCTAGAAACACACACTGTTTCCTCAGCAGTCACTAGTGACAGAAAAGATTGAGTTTTCATAAAAGGAAAAACACAAACACCATCTGACATGGAAAACATTAGGGCCTATTCTTGGACATTTGAGTTACTAATGAATGAAAGTAGCTAGAACCCAATCTAATGAAGGCACTTATAAAATGCAAACCCATCTTCCTCACGTCAAAGAATGATTTCCACTAGGAACTGAGAATCACACTATATGGCCCTTCAGAAAAAGTAAACCAACACTACCGAAAGAAAACTGTAACATTAAGAAGGGAATTGAATTATAATCTCTCCACATGTATATATACTGACAGAAATTACTTGCCGGTGGTACCTTTAAAGAGTTATAAACTCCAAAAGCACTAGTCTCAGAAAAAACCCATTTAACTACTGTAAAGCTTAAATAGCCAAAACATTTACCTAAATCAGTGGTTCTTAAACTAGTATCAGAATCAACTGGAACACTGGTTAAAACATCATGCAGAGCACGTCCCAGATGAGGTTAGGGGGTGGGGGTGGGGATAAGGCTGGTCATTTGCACTTCTTACCAGTGCCCAGGTGATCCTGGTAGTCTGGCCTGGAAATCACCTGCTGAGAACCACTGACCTATATGAATGGTACATCAGCACAGCCCTAATCAAAATCTTGGTCATGGTGCAAGTATGGTGGGGATGCATATTGGAGGTATGATATTGCAGAACTTTTTGTCTCTTGGTTTTTTACTAGCAGGTAAGGCTTACTAGTGTTATTTCTGGGTTGGGTCCCTGTGCTTTATCTGGAAGTTGCCTTTCTCACAATGATTCCATAGTCATGAACTGATACATTTTCAGGTGCCCCTACCTTGTACATATCTGTTAAAGGCTCAAAAAGGTGGTATATAGAGTCCCAAGGGACATATGTGTCCCATATAACAAAATCCCCATTTTGTAATAGAACTTCAGGAATGCACCTTGATTCTGCATGCCTTCCATCAATTAAAACACAGGTATCAACCAAAAAAAAAAATTCAAAGCTGGAAAGGACAGGGTCGTGAAAGGGTTAATGCTTAGGCAGACCACTGAGAAATTCCCCACCATTATTACATCAAGACATCTACATCTGCTTCATGGTCTTCCTCAGTCACTTTCAAGGACAGCACCTCTTCATTAAGGAAGAGCCCACTAAGCCTCTCCTTCCGAGCTTGCCTCTGCTCTTTCAGCTGCCTCTTGCGTAAGGCCTTCTGCTGTAACTTCCGTTGCTTGGAACGCTTCTGCCAAAATAAAGAGTTCTAAATCAGTGAGGTTCAAGTTCTGGGAAAATCCACCCCATTGTGTTTTGGGGCTCCAAGTCTACATCTTCGGAATTTTAAGAGATGTTCATATTCCGCTGTAGTAACACACGCCTTGTTCTAGGAAGTGAATCAAATGACTCAGATAGAAAAATGATTCTTCAAGATTATATTTTTATGGTATTTTGACCAGCAAATCTTCTGATTAGGCAAGGCTGAGACACTTTGACTAGTTATGGGTAGCCAGTTCTTTCGGAGACTTTCATCAAATTAAGGGACACTAGTGTCAGTGCACAGCAAACACGCAATAAAAGGGAAAAATACTGAATATGAATGCATATAACATGGCTGAAATCTCAAAGAATCATGCCTCTTTCATATTTAACAAAGCTTAATACCACCTAAAAGTGCCATTAGGAACCTAGTATGTACTCTCATATTTGTCACTAATGAAGTGATAACGATAGATCCTGAGAAATACCTTGGCCATCCATAATGTTGGCTATGTTTCGCCTGCTCCAGTAAGCCAAGGAATCATTATGCATATGGAAGTCACCACTGGGTTCCCAAAATCTGACTTTCAATTTGTGCATCTACTCAAGCTCACTGTCATTGAGTCAATTCCAACTCATAGCCCACCTATATATAGAACAGGGTAGCACCACCCCTGTAGATTTCCGAAACTGTAACTCTTTATGGGAGTAGAAAGCCTCGTCTTTTTCCTGCAGGGTGGCTAGTGGTTTCAAACCGCTGACCTTGCAGTTAGCAGTTCAACACATAAAATATAACCACAGCACTGCCAGTGATCCCACATAAATAATGCACATATACAGAGCACATGTAGGAAATTAATATATTGGGGTTTGTGTGCTTTGCAAAAAAGCCACACAATGTACATATTATTTATTTAAATCAACAGCTTAGAGATTCCTTTGATCATTCTTAAACTGGTTCCAAATTCTGATGCCACTACAAGGATCAGAACCCACTCCCAAGTACACACACACACAGTGCTAGGCATTCTATATACATCTATTATCTTGCGTTTTTTTCCCTTAAGTGATGCATATTTTTTGTTTTGTTTTTTTAATGCATAATATTATACAGAATATTTTCAACTGTGAGAAGAATAGAAAGAAATGACAGAAAGCACTATAATTGTTTTTGTATTAACTAAGAAGAGAGATTTAGGATTAAAGCATTAGGAAAATGCTTAACACACATACAAAGCATACATACAAAAAGAACATTCATAGGAGCTACTAGACAGCAACATCAGCAACATAGTGAGATTCACTCAATTGTGAGTTGCAGTCAATATTGCAATCTGGAGAATCACTCATCGTTTCCAGCAATATAACTCCCTTAAAACAGACATCAAAACTCAAATGCAATATGCTTTTGGTTCCACACATTTCTCTCGAAGCATTCAACCTCGAATGCTTCATTCAACAGCAGAGTATCCTGCTTCTTCATTTAAAAACCCAAACCCACAGGCATCTAGATAGCAGAATAACTTCAACTCTTCAAGAAATTTATATGAAGTACTAATGAAAATATTGAAAGGTAAAATTTTGTATTGATTAGACGTTTTACTTTTGAATCCCGAATCCGCTCTGCTGCACTTGCAGACAGGTTGCTGTCACTGTGTGCTCGACTCATGTTGGCACTGGAGTTTGAAGCAGAGTTTCCAAAACTGGACCCACTGCTGCTTGCAGAACTGACCATGCTGGCACTGCTGCTGCTGGCACTGGCACTGGCACCGCTCACTCCACTGGTGCTTGGGCAACTAAAGTTGCTTCTCTTCCAGGCCTCTCTTGGAGGCCGTTGGCGAGGGCTATGCTCCTTGATATAGTTTCTGACCTTGGAACACACAGACAAAAAGTACTTAGTAGAACACCCACGATGTTCTGTATTCAAAATGCTGGAAGGCAACAGAAGGACACAAGTGTTGTACTTCAATGTCAAGATGGTCAAAGGTGTTGCAGAAGCAGGATCCTCATCAAAAGGGAGAAAGTGAAGAATGGAGTTTCAAATTCTAACTGAAACCAGACAGTTCATAGCTATGGAAGCTGGGTGACTCCCTGAAACCCCTGCTGAGCTAATCTTCAAATTTTACACTGGAAAACAGCCCCTAAAGTTGTCTTCAAACCAAAGCACAGGTTAACTTAACTAGTACAGAACGTCTGCCTTGAGCACTGAGCTCTTTTAAGATCTATTGGCATGGGATGAAATGACAACAACAACTCGGAAGATAAGATAGAAAATGTAGGGGGCAGGGAATTTCCATAAAGAAGAGAGGAGCAACCCAGCAAAGGAAGGTTGTACAACTCAAAGAAGGTAACAAGTGTCACTGAATTATACATATAGAAGTTTCTGGATTAGTGTATTGCTATGTATATTCTAAACAATAAAAATGAATTAGGCTATTTCATTAAAAGGGCTGCAGGTGCAGAGAGGCAGAAGATAAGAGCAAAAGAAATCAGTAAATTTAGGAAGAAGTGCCCCCAAAATTGACCTTGTTTAAAATTCTAGAAACTCTTATGTGGAATTCGATTTTTTAAGTATACAAAATATAATATGTAAATGAGAGGCTAGTGGTCTCTGGAATTTAGAATGATAAGAAAATAACACCCTCAAATAGAAGCTGACAACAAAACAAACTGAATGCGGTTAGACATTTTCAAAAGTCTCCACTTAAGATGATTTGAGTAAGTTGCTGGTTATAGCTAAGGAAAGAGTAGTTCCTAAATTTTAGCTGGGCAGCAAGGGAACCTGTCTTCAAATGCAAGGCATCAATTTACCACACTAGTGGAAAATCGGTTGGAACACAGAACAGTGTATTATGTCTGTTGGGAAGATATGCTGAAATGCAAGACATTTTTTATGAATAATAAATGCAAAAACAAAGCATACAAGTAAAACATAAGACTATAAATATTCATCCAAGTCTACCAGAGGAAAAGAAAGCAGAAATATCTTGCTTTTAAAAGATATCAAAAATGCAGACTTCAGATGGCATTCCATTTTACTCTACCCAGGCTTAGTTTTACTCTAAGGAATTCCTAAGACTATTCAAAAGTCCCTCTGCTCAGATGGTCGCCACAATAATAATGTCTTCAATATTCTGAGTATGTCTTCAATATCTCTCTTTTATTTTAAGTTGTGTTAGAATAAATCTCCACCCTAGCCTGACCACTTTGTACATGGTGAAATTAAGTTTCACAGACAACACAATTAAAGATCAGGCTCTTGACCTACACTGATCCCAGAAAAGAACTGCCAGGTACAAGATATATATACAACCTTTTAAACCCACGAGTTCTCTAACCCATAACATTCTATTTTTCCCTGTCTAACTATACATTTCACAGTGGTGCTTTTGATCTTAATTATGCATTTCAAGGATATTATTCAAATCTACAGTTTTTAAAGACAGTGGCATTTTCAATAGCTGTACAATAAAATCAGATACAGTTTTTCTTTACATACCTGTTTCAGTTTTTCATCTGTGAGACAGTTAAGTTCAATAATAAACTCACTGTCTGTAGGGGAGATTTGAGCAGAGGGATCAATGATTTTAATAATATCAAGTTGTTCCCGAAGACCCATCTCAGTACTGACTTTACGACTCAGATACTCAATATATTCCACCTGTGTGATAAAACAAATTTCAACAAACAAGATCAATGCTAACACCTCTGATCCTATAGTATACCATTTATAATATTTACATATCAGAAGTATTTAATATTTATGTTTGTTGCCTGTGAAACATTTCATTAAAGCTCAAATTTCAATTTATTAAGCAATTTACATTTGTGTAGTGGCTTTAAATGGGCAAAACAGTGAGCTTCCCATGTCAACCATATATGTTTTTTGTTAAGAATGACAAGTTTTAAAGTTGAAAGAGCCCCCAAGAAAATGATCTTTTAATAAATAAAAAGGACTCAGAAAAATTAATGTTAAAGACAAAACAAAACAAAGACAAGATTTCTACCTGTTCATCATTTGTCATTGCACTCCAAGGAAGCTCATCTAAATTCCGGTGCTTGTTTTTCTTTTTTGGAAGCAGGCAAGGGGAACTGGGAATACTGGGTATGACATCAGAAAGTACATCACTCCCACTGGCAATGTCACTGCCTGGTAGCTTTGTAAAAATAAGGTAGTGGGGGAGGAGTTGGGTAGAGAAGGCAAAAAAATTAATAGATTTCAAAGACCATAGCATATTTTACATTCATTATATGTTACCTCAAAAATAATACTAATGGCAAATATATTCTTATCTGATGGCATGAATTCTTATCTGTGTTCCAATCGTTAAGGGATGTTGACAACAATCATGGTATCAAGAGAGACCAGTCCCTGGAGAAGGACATCATGCTTAGTAAAGTAGCAAGTTAGCCAAAAAGAGGAAGGCCTTCAATGAGATGGCTTGACGCAGTGGTTGCCACAAAGGGCTCAATCATAAAATGTGTGAGGATGGCGCAGGGCCAGGTGTTTCATTCTGCTAATACATAGGGTTGCTATGAGTTGGAGTCAATTCAATGACACCCAACAACAATAGTTCCGAGCCAGGCCTCTTTTATACACAAAGCAACAACATCAATACAGTGAACCCTCGTTTATCGCTGTTAATCGGTTCTAGACCCTACCATGATAAATGAAATTCCGCGAAGTAGGATTCCTTATTTGTAAATCAAATATTTTCGTAGTTAGAGCATAGAGGACATGAAAAAACACCCTTTA